GCACGGATGTGCGGATTCAAAATCTAGTTTCCTATTAAAATAAGGGATTAACTGCATCTAATTCATAAAACTATTTATAAATCTAACAGCAGGTAAATAATATATAAGGTTATACAGTGTATATTTTTATATATTAAGATAAGAAAAAGAGAATATATATATATATATTCTCAAAAAATTTAATTTCCAAAATTGTGAAACAAATTAATACCTTGCAAATGTAAGTTAGGGTGTAGATTTTGTTGTTTGTTGCTTGCACGTATGCAAAAAACTTTTAGCAAGAAAAAAAAAGTATGGAAAAAACTGCTGACTGACAACAATCTTTGCATTCTTTAGGTGGAAATATACTTTGGCACGTTTACGTCATAAACTAAAGTAATAACGAGTTAAAAAAAAAAGTTAATAACGAATTTTGGGCAGAGAAAAGACGAGAAGGTTTGGCATTTTGGGACAGTACAGAACTGTACATCTGAGTGTATGAATCTGTTTGGCATTTTGGGACACTTAAAAATTCCGCATTTCAGAGTAACGAGTTTAATATAAGATGCAAGTCTGCACAAATACATTCATACATGGCATGCTCTAGTTTGGTTGTTTCACTTCAAATTTATCAGGACAGGAGGTGCAATGTATTGGAGGAGAGACCGTCAGGATATATTCGCCAGAGACAAGAACCACCGGAATTTCGGAACTGCATCCTCCTCTGTCTCCAACTCATCAAAAGATAATCGGAGAGCTGCCTTTTTGTTATCCAGAGACGCTCCAGAGCCATGAAGTCTAGAGTTTTCACAAGCAATGGTTTTCTTCTAGAGTAAACTTATATTTTATTCATCAAATTTTCACACTCATCACAATAAATAAACAAGCATACTAGTATCTCAGCTTTGATTGTATATGTAAATCCAAAAGTAACCAATCTAGTGTTGTTGCTCTCTCGAAACATAATAAGCAGAAAGAAATCCCTTGTATGAGTCAGTGAATGCAAACAAGGAAATAACACAAGCAATAATGATTCATCTACTCTTGTTTCTTCTGAGCACAAGGGAGACTATGGAATGGATCCCCAAATGCAGCAATGTTTCAACAACGCATGAAAGTTATTTAAATGAAGTCTATATTGAGTGACACTTAGGGAAGAAGCATGGTTTTAGTTCTGACTAAAACTTGAGTGTGTGTTACCTGGTAGTTTCTAAGGGTAAGAGTCTTGAAACCAGCGGCAACATAGTCGAAATAATATTCCCATGTCCTTATGAATTTATCGTCGAATCCAAGATCCATGATTTGTCTACACAAAATATATGAGAAGATATACTTAATTCCAAAAGATGAAACAGATGATAGGTTACTTTTCAATATTTATCTTACTTTTGGTTCTCCAAGATTCTCTTCCTCCAACGTCTCAGAGTATGGTAGTAATGAATCCCAATGTTTTCAATGCTGTATTTATTTTTGGATGTTAGATGGTTTGAGAAACCAGAGAAAATTTACCTTGCAGCTAGATACTGGTAAAACAAAAAAAATTTACCATAGCCCAGAGGAGGAGGACATGGCTGAAGTAACTCTGGCTAAAGAAGGAAGACAACCACCTGGGAATATGTATTCCGTTATGAAACCTGAAGTTAGTCTGGTCTCATCGTATAGCTCTTCAGGTACCGCCGTGAACTGTGTAATTTGGTTAAACATTGAATAAATGGTTATGCAATCATGAAGGAGAAGCAAAACATGTTACCTGCATGACAAAAATGCCATCTTTTGCAAGCACAGCTTCACAGCAGGTGAAAAACGTTTCATAAAACTCGTGGCCAACCGCTTCTATCATCTCGCTGAAACATCCAAAACATTTTTTGTTAGATTACGAAGTTTTGTTTTGATGAAGAGGGACAGAAAGAAGTGTTTACCAAGCTATTATCCTGTCATATTTGTGAGCATCAGATAGTTGACGATAATCGCAAAACTTAAAGGTGATCCTGTCCTGTCGATTCAGAAGTAATATTGTTAATCATTAAGCTTAATGTTTCTTTTATTAGATGGATTAGACAAAACCTCAAGTTCAGCTTCTTTCACTTTTGCTTCTGCATATTTAAGTTGTTGAATAGATAGTGTAATGCCAGTGTATTTGCATCCAGTTCTTTTCACTACTTCTATGGCCAAGGCTCCCCATCCGCATCCTATCTCTAAAACCTCATGGTTCTTCTCTATTCTTGCCTGAAATTTTGATACCTTCGGTTAGTAAACAAAGAAAAATCGCAATTCTTTGTTATAAATCAATATAATACTCTTTACCTTTTCTATCAAAAGAGTTATTTTTCTCATTTGTGCAGTTTTTAGATCCTCATATTCTGCCTACAAACGTGAAAATGGTAAAAGGTTGAACTCAGGATCATAGTAAAAGTAAGAGAGAAACCCTCTGAGGCTTTTCAATGGTTACCTTGAATACTGCAGAGGAGTAAGACATGGTATCATCCATGAAGAGACTAAAAAGCTCGTTGCTCTGTGAACAAAACAGAGAATCTGATTATAAACCTGAAAGACCAAGAAAGTTTTATCAATATTTTAAAGCGCGGTAGAGATTGAAGCCACTTACAAGGTCATAGTGACGAGAAATGTTCCTTCGAGCTTGTGTTAGAGTGTTTTGCCTAGAGACATGCTTTAGGAAATGCTTAACAGATGCCAAACTAGCAGTTAAAAACATTGGTGTCCACCATCCCCTGTAAAAATAAAAATAATAATGAAAGCTTAGGGCTTAAACTTTTATATAGAGAGGCTATAGCTTTTACCTTTTCTTAGCAAATTTTGCTTTTCTTGAGCTCAAGTCTCTATTAGCAATGAAAATCTACAAGAAGTTTTTATCTAGTAAGCAGGCAAACATTAGAAAACTCGAAAAAGTAAGCATGTTATTTACCATAATCAGATTCAGCATTCCCAAATCTTTATCGACGAAAGAAAAATCTCCACTGATATAAGCATCTGCAAGTCCTAAATCCGCTTCTGTCATTACCTGTGAAGCAGGTTCTTTAGCTATGGAATGGCTATTATATTTTCTCATTGTCCTAAATATATGTATATGAACCTTCCAGTAAAACTGAGGACTGTGAATCTTGAGGATAGATTTCAAAAGACAATTAGAATCGTTTCCTCCGAACGTGATCATTGTTCCTCCATCTTCTAGTATCCTGTTCAGTTTAAATCGGTAACTATTAATGTAACAATCGTGTAACATTATATTATCTAAGTCCTGGAGATAAGTGTGAGCCTCACGTTACACAGCCAATCGATATGAACTGTCTCAAGAATCTAGTAACGAAAAGCCGTGCTCCAGACTGGGTTAGGGAAAGGGCCATATGCTGCAGTTTTGTAAGTAGTGTGGTTCCTTTCCCTAGCAAACCTCGTGCAGCTGCCATATATACCGGCCTAAAGATAACAATACTGTTGGTATTTAACATAATGGGTAGTGGAGAGATGATGATTTAGTTATACATGATTTGATCATTGTCTTTAGTACGTCCTCATGGAAATTCAGGTAAAGATTAGACAAGAAAAGATAATGTTCTTAATAAAACAACAAGAATAGACCAAGATTTATGGACATAATTTCCTTAATAAAATATTCAAAAAGCTATATGACAATTCTTTTTTATCTATATAACTAGATTTTGAACCCGCACAGATGTGCGGGTAATTTTTCATTTTTTAAATATAAAAATTTAATATATGTTAACAATTTTATTTTCTGTAAAATTTATTACATAATTTACGAATGTTTAATCTTTATAAAAGGTAAATAGTATTTTAGTCACTTAAATGGTAAATGATATTTTATTTATTTATTTAAATGATTTTTAATAAATATATTAGTTTACCAATTTAATATAACTTTTATATGTAATTCATTTATTATTTCTATTTTAATATAATATAGAATATACTTATAATATTTAGAAAATTGGCATATAGTAAATTATATTTTGTTTATAATAAAATTTTAATTAAGGTTAATGTATAATAATATTATACTACTAAGTACGAAATTAATCAGTACATTAGTTAAAAACCTATTTAAATTTTTAAAAAGATTTTGTTAGATTTTTTCTCAACAGATTTTGTGATTACTAAAACTAAAATTTAAAATTATAGTTAAAACAGATTTGTTATTAATATCTTTATAATTATTTAGAAATGTTATAAATCAAATAAACTAATGTAAATAATCAAAACAATGTAACTGAATATATGGACCTAGTATGACTCTTCTATAGTAGATAAAATGGGTACTTCTCTTTTAATAGAGAAGATGTTGTTCTTATAATTTAATATTAGTTTAACTACTACTTATGGATTTAGATTAGATTCATTTCCGGGTACCTAGTGATGAAACCTCATTCGGTAAAAAGAAGAGAGATCTAAGTAATATGAAGAATATAAATATTTGAAAATATTTATGAAAATCAGCTTGATACTTATATGACAATTTTTTTACTTAGTTATTATCATTTATATACTGAATATTGTTATTTTGATTTCTGGATTCAAATTCAGATTCAGATAGATTTTTATAGCTGCTGATGAAACTTATAAGCAAAAAAGGAATAGAAGTGAAATCTACAATTTTGGAAATGTTGTCAAATATGAAATTTCAAAAACATTTATGATATTCAGTTCGTAAACTTTAACACGACAATCTTATTAGTTTATATTTTATATGATTTTTTTACAAATTTGATATTGTTATTTTAAAATTTCACAGAGCTGAAACTAGATCCAGACACGAAATATTAGTGATTACAGTTTTAGAAAATAAATAAAAAAGTTATAAGAGAAAGGTTTTCAGCAATTTTACCTATATACTAGGTGATTTTCCCGTGCTCATGCACGGGCATATATATTTATAAAATAAATATACTATAATAATTGATTGATATTTACTTTAATTTTTAAATTAATTTATAGTTTTTATGTCTAATTTATATTATAATATTATATTACTTTAATTATATATAATTTTAGATATGTTATATTTAGTCTGTTTTATTGTTTTTATGGTCGATTTAGTTATCATTTAGATATATTGGATTCTATCTATTTCTCTGAATTCAACTATAATCTTTTATATTTTTAAATATATTAATTTTTTTTTCTTAATTGTCTTATTTGCATTTATGTTAGTTGTTATCTTAGAAATATAAGTATATTTAGTAAGATTATATATAACTTAAGATTTTTTTGTGCTTAGAAGGAAAAAAAATAAAAACTAAAGTGTCTGATTCTAAATTACATACATAAGTAACTAATGAATTTTTAGAAGCTTTTGAACACATATCAATATTTAGAATAATTAAAATATTTTATAAATTCTAAATAAATTTATGCTTTAGATTGATTGGATGGCAAACTGAAATTTATTTTAAATAATTTTAAAAATAAAGATTCTGATTTGCTTAAGTATTTTTACTATGATTATATTAAGTTTCACAAACATAAAAACAGAAAATAAAAAATCAAAAGATTTTTTAAGAAAACAGATAATTTTAACTATTAAAATATAATATATGTACCTCGTTAAATTATATAGTGTTATGATATTTTAAAATAAATATAGTTACTTGATCAAAAGATGTTTATTATTAAATTTATTTTTAGTTTTATTTTTAGTATCTCTTAAAATAGTCAGTAAAAACTAATTTTTTTTGAGAAATTATACTATATAAGAAAATAGAATTTATATCTTTACTGTAATTGTAAGATATTATAGTCAAATAAATATACTAAAAAAATAATTTCAATAATACTAATTATAAAAAATGTCAATTAAACATATATCAGTTTATGTTACTTGATTATTTTATGTAATCATCTAATAAAATAGATAGATATGTACAAAAAATAATTATTTTGAAAATACATATATTTTATTGTTTAAAATTATATTTTTTAAAGAAAAAATATTTCTTTTTCTAATAGCAATATTTTTTGTATGAAATTTTTTTATGAAATCACATTATATACAGATATTATTTTTTTTATCTAAGAAGATATAGATATAAAGTATTTTATTACTTCAAAGGTATATTTTATGTTATTTAAAATATATTTAAATTAAATATTACTATTTTGTGAACTTTCCTATTTTATTAAACCATAATATATATACTTATATTTTCGTTTTTAAATAGTTTTGTAAATTTTATAAATGTTTCCTTTTTATTTTATATTGTTATTTGGAAATTTTTAAAAAAGGAAATAATATTTAATTGTATTTTTAATTCATTAGGGGTATCATAGTAATCAACCAGCGTGAGAGTTAACGTGAGCGCGACACCTAAGAAAGTGACTTCTCAAATAATATTATAGAGATTTGGGACTGGGAATCTGGGAGACGATGGATTTAGATCTTGAAATGGAAAGGAAAGTTCGGTGGACCGCGTCTAGAGAGATACCATGCCAAAAGTGGGTTACTTAGTCACTGTTTTTTTTTTTGAGAAAAAAAAAGGGTTACTTAGTCACTGTTATCTACTTATATAAGTAGATACTGTTATTGTTATTTGGAAATTTTTAAAAAAGGAAATAATATTTAATTGTATTTTTAATTCATTAAGGGTATCATAGTAATTAACCAGCGTGAGAGTTAACGTGAGCGCGACACCTAAGAAAGTGACTTCTCAAATAATGAGATTTGGGACTGGGAATCTGGGAGACGATGGATTTAGATCTTGAAATGGAAAGGAAAGTTCGGTGGACCGCGTCTAGAGAGATACCATGCCAAAAGTGGGTTACTTAGTCACTGTTTTTTTTTTTGAGAAAAAAAAAAGGGTTACTTAGTCACTGTTATCTACTTATATACCAGACATGTGTAAACCGTATTCGGCTCGTCTTTCAAATCTTTCCTGTAAGATCTAATTAAAATTATTTAAAATAAATTATCTTACGTTCATCGATGCTTCATGCCTTCATGTTACGGCTCGTGGTCGAAGAATATAGTTCCATCTAGACAAACCTAACCAAATTTGGTCCCTTTATAATATGATGCCAATAAAAGAGGGTTGAGTTTCCATAGATTGAAGGGTATTTAACCAAGAAAATGGCTGACAAAAGCATTTTTGTTATTTTAAAATTTCCTCCATGCTAAATTAGATGTCATTTTAGATTTTTCACACCAATTAAAAAAGATAAATATTCAATTTTACTTTTATTTAAATATTAGAATTATATTGATTTATTTTTTCTTTAATAAATATAGAGATAAAAGAGATAAATTAGTGACACTGATTGTCTTAAAATCTTAAAACAATATTTATTTTATAACAAAACTAGGGCCGACCGGGCTACGCTGATTTTTTTGTTAAAATTTTAATTATATGTTATATGTTATTTTAATATATAAATATTATAATCTATTATAAAATATAAGTAGTTAGACAATTATATAACTATTTTAATTATTTATTGTTTTTTGTTTTTCGAATTTTTAAAATTTTAATATCCAAATTTTGTATGTTATAGATTATCAATATGTGTTTTGCGTAGAATAATTGTGTATTGTGGCTTGTCTCGATTTTTGTTTCTTTATTTGTTGTGTGTTATTATTTTATTTTTAATTTTTTTAAAAAAAAAAATTATTTGGTTATTTATTACTCATTGTTTACTGTTTGAATATATTTTTGATAATTATTCTAAATTTGATCTTATTTACCTAAAATGAAAAAAAAATTAGTGTGTGAATCTTTTTTTCCTTAGGTTTGATGAAACTTAAAGAAAAATAATATGATAATAAATCTTTCGTCTTTCCAAACTTATAGACTTCTTTGTTTATTTTAAATATGTTTAAGTATTCTGTAACTTTTATTTAACTTTTAAGTTTTTATTAAATTTTTCATTAAACACATGAAAAATACTTTTCATTAAACTCAAGTTATATGAAATATCATAATTAAATTTTAATTAGTCTATTTTATCTCTTATTAGTTCTTGGTTTTTAAATTATTTTTATTATTTATTTACTGTTACTTATTTTTATAACTTTTTGTATTCTAAGTTAACCTTAAATTTGGTAGTAAAAAGGGAACCAAAAATCTGTAAAATTTAGTATTTTTATTTTCGTTGGTATAAATCTAATGAAATGTATAAATATTAATAGCGTAAATTGATTTATCTTCTTTCTCATGAATTTTATTTATTATAATTATAATTTATTTGTTTAATCATATTATATATTCACTAAATGATTATTTTATTATAATTATAATAATTTTATTTATTATAAGTATAAATTTATTTGTTTAATTATATTTTATATTTGCACTAAATGATTATTTTTTAACAAAAAGATTAATGTCAATTTGTTTTGGTTTCATTAAAAATAAAATATTTGTTATAATGATTTAGAAGTTATTAAATTGTTTGAAAA